TGAAATCTGTGAATGATCACAGAGTTCACATGGTAGGAGGCTATTCACAACAGCCTTGTACCATGTGACAAGCTGTGACCAATCACAGCTCACTCAGTATTTCTCAATGACTGCAAGAATGCAGATAGAGAGAAAGAGAAATGATTGCTTTTACATCCTATATGGGTGTAAAAACAATCTGTGTAAAAAAAAAAAAATCTTCATCACCCCCCCACAAGTAGTACAGTGTCACCATGGTGACACTGTACTGCTAGGGTGACAGTATGTAAAAAAAAATAATAAAAAAATAATAATAATAATATAAATAAATAAAATAAAAATGTAAAAAAAAAATTATAATTTTTGGTTATAAACTAATTTGGATTTTTTTTTTTTACTAAAAAAATAACGGAATAAATTTTGCCCAAGATTTATGATGAAATATTATTTATTTGCAAAACTTTATTAAAAAAAAACACTTTTTTTCAAAATGTTTGGACTTTTTTATTTACATAGTAAAAAAAAATAAAAATCCCAGCGGTGAATAAATACCACCAAAATAAAGCTTTATCTGTCTCAAAAAATGGTAAAAAATTCATATGGGTACAGTATTGCATGACCGCGCAATTGTCATTCAAAGTGTGATAGCGCTGAAAGCTGAAAATTGCCCTGGACAGGAAGGGGGTAAAAGTGTCCGGACAGGGAAGTGGTTAACTGCTCCATTCATAGGGATGGGCATAACTTCAATCTGGTTTGTTGACTATGAATTGATGGGCATAGAGGTTGCACTGGTCCACAATTGAATTTAGTAAGTCATCGATAAAAATTAAATTAAAAAAATCAATGGGGCCAAAGTTTTCTGTGTTCACCTGGATGCCTGGCTGGGCAGTAAAATGGGGGATGTTAGCTGCTCCAGAGATAGGGGTAAGCCATAGAGGGTTTTGAAGGGCATATGGAAGAGCAGCATGGGTCCTAACCCTTTGGGGCTGAGGTAACACCTCTCTAGTACCTGGCCTTTCTTGAGGTTCTCCATTTCTGGTGAAAGCCACTGCTCTACTTGTGGATGCCACTGCTTTACTTGTGGATGCCACTGCACTACTTGTGGTAGCCTACTCCTCACCAGAACGCCTTCGTTTGGTAGGCACACTTTCCTCCTCCTCTGATTCTGTAGGAGACGTGCAGCTTAAAACGGGCTCGTATTCCAAATCAGAATCAGATTCAGAGAGCTCCCCACTGTTCTTGTCGGTCATGGTTAGGATTTGATATGGCTCCTCACAGGAAAATAATTTTTCAGACATACTGGGACAGAGGTGGCTGCACTGCTGTGTGCTGATGAGGCTGCACTGCTGTGTGCTGATGAGACTGCACTGCTGTGTACTGATAAGGCTGCACTGCTGGGTGCTGATGAGGGTGCACTGATGGGTAATAATGTGAACTGATGAGGCTGCACTAATGGGCGCTGATGATGTTGCACTGCTGTGCACTAATGCACTGCACTGAGGCTGCACTGATAAGTTGGCACTGATGAGGTGGCACTGATTTGTGCTAATGAGGACCCACTGATAGAGTGGCACTGATGTGCACTGATAAGTGGCACTGATGTACACTAATAAGTTGAAGTAATGAGATAGCACTGATGGTAATGAATGAGCACTGATGAACACCGATAAGCTGCAGTGATGAGGCGGCACTGATGGGCACTGATAAGCTGCAGTGATGAGGCAACACTGATGGGCAGTGATAAGCTGCAGTGATGAAGCAGCGCTGATGTGCACTGATAAGCTGCAGTGATGAGCACTCACTGATGAGCACTGATATGCACAGATGGGCACTGATATACACAGGTGGGCACATATGAGCACTGATATGCACAGATGGGCACTGATATGCACACGTGGTGGGCACTGATGCACAGATGGGCTGATATGCACAGATGGGTACTGATGGTCACTGATATACACAGATGGGCACTGATGTACACTGATAAGCTGCAGTAATGAGATAGCACTGATGATAACTGATGAGCACTGATGTGCACCGATAAGCTGCAGTGATAAGGCAGCACTGATAAGCTTCAGTGATAAGGCAGCACTGATGGGCACTGATGAGCCCTCACTGATGAGCACTGATAAGCTGCAGTGATGAAGCAGCTCTAATGGGCACTGATATGCACAGGTGGGAACTGATGAGCACTGATATGCATAGGTGGGCACTGATATGCACAGGTGGGCACTGATATGCACAGATCGGCATTGATGAGCACTGATATGCACAGATGGGTACTGATGGTCACTGATATGTACAGATGGGAGCTGATATGCACAGATGGGCACTCACTGGAGGGCAAAAATAGGGCACTGATGAGCACTTTTAATAAAAACTCACTCTGCTGGAACCGATTCTCTCTCCTTTCCTAATACTCAGTATCGGTGTGAGGAAAGGAGAGAAAAGACCCAGGCATAACCCCTCTGTGTTTACATTTCTGGTCATTGAACAGAGTGATCAAATGGTAAAGGGCCGCTGTGATTGGCCCTTTACCCCTATTCATGATGCGTTGTGTCCAAGGGACACAGCCATCGCTGACAGTTCCTGATGCACACCGCCGGGGCATGCGGGAAGCACAATCACGTGAGGACATCATATGACACCCTCCCAGAATTGGCCAGCCACGGTGTAGCTGTCATACGGCTATTACCCGATTGGCAAGTGGTTAAACATTGTTGGTTAACTTGATAACCACATATGGAAATGCACTAAAACTATTTCAGCTTTTGTATTTCCGGAAGAACAGATGGTTTACTAGGGCAGGGGCTATCAGAAGACTCTCCAGGGATGGAGCTTGGATTGAGAGGCTGTAGGTGAACTACATCATGCCCTGTTGCACTAGGTAGAACAGCCCTTGTGTTATAGAAGGGAATCTCTCTTCCACTGTATGAAATATGTGTAACACCCTGCTATTATTTAGACTGCAGGATGTAAAAAGAGACACAAGGTGGCAGTGTCCTGCAGCTCAGTAGCACACATCCTGGTGAAAATCTTTATGGATTTTGTAGGCTGAATTGCAGGATTTTGTCAGAAGGCTGCTAATTGGGGGACTACATTTCCCAGAAGAGCTGGGTTGTGGGCGGAAGTATATAAATGTAGAAGCCTCAGAACAGAGGCTGGGGGAGAGAGCTGGAAGGAAGGAGGAATCAGAGGGATCTGCAGGCCACAAGTTGAACACCCCTCCCACATGGAAGAAAAATATATTTGAAATATATTTTAAACATATTCTTCCCAAGTATATTGCCATATATTTGAAATGCTACAATTTTGGTCATGTTCAATATATTTCAAAATATATATTTCAATATATATATTATGAAATATATGAAAAATATAAAATATTTTTAAAAATATGTTTCAAATAAATATATAATAAATAAATATATATTTATTGAAATAATATATTGAATATGGCCAAAATTGTAGCATTTCAAATATATGGCAATATACTTGGGAAGAGCATTTTTAAAATATGTTTCAAATATATTTTTCTTCCATATGGGCTGGCTTAGTGCTTGTGTGTATCAGAGAAGCTTGTTTATGGGTTGATATTAGTGTAGTCCCCAGCGGTTATCAAAAAGTGTATTTATTTTGATTGTTTTTGTGTTTAAAGTATTTTCTTATTATCAGATCCATATTTAGTCAGATTTTTATTGTTGTTCTGGATTTTATCAAAAGCATATGGTAACTTTCATTTTTGTAACTGGTTGAAGTAACTGGATTTGTATTTAAAAACAGAACACAGTCAATAAATAGTGAGTAATCTTTGCTTGACTTCCCATGTCTTAAAGATTTTACTAAACAAACAGGAATGAAAAATAAAAAGCCACATTGTAGATATAGGCAGTGAACAGGAAACCCACAAGTCACAACTAATGACAAAGGCCCGGATTGCTGAGTGGTTTGCTAATAGTTTTTAGACAAACCGGACTGACAGCATAGCTATACTAGAAGTTTGGTTAATGTTATTTACTTGTAGGGGAGGGCGGTGTGATTGGGTGTTAAACAGTATTCAAGGTCATGAACTCTTTGCAGAAAAGAGATTAAGAAGTCATTATTTCCAATATGTTCTATCACTATGCATAGAATAGATCCTCCCTCTTTAGTGTAAATATAAAACAATAGAACAATTGTTAAAGAGTGTCTTGTGCAACAGTGATATATATATATATATATATATATATATATATATATATATATATATATCAGGGGCAGACTGACAACTCATGGGGCCCCCAGTCAATAGGGGATCATGGGGCCCCTGTGTCCTTGCCCAAACTCAAAAACCCTATGAAAATGGTACCAGGGGTATCTCATGGGGCCCTCTACTGACCCCGGGCCCTTGGGCAGTGCCCGAGTTTCCAAATCTGCCGTCAGTCCGCCCCGGATATATATTTATTTTTTACTTTCAATGTGCCTCTGAACTTGTGAACTTGCTAGTAATTCTGACTGACTACTCCAGGTATAGCCAGTTACCTAGCACAGCCCCCTTCCTACTACTCTTCTGGAAGTGTCAGCTACTCTCTTTGCTGATCCAGCTCATCCATCCCACCCTTCACCTCTCTTTTTAACCTTTTATGCAGCTCCTGTGTTGTAGAGCAACCATTGAATAGTAAATCATGTTTGTTTTGGCTTACTGCAATGTCACCTATTTGTTTTCCACATCTGCACTTTTAATAGCAAATAAAATCTAGCACATTACTTGCATGATTTAATAAGTCCAGATGTGGAGTGCCATGTGTGGTAACTTCCCAGTCCAGCAGGCTCAAATTTTGACAAAAATAACTTCAGTATAGATGCAGAAGGCATACAGTGGTTAAAGTCTAGTATGCTTCATGATTCTATAAAAGTCAAGTTTTATTTGTATGCAAAAGAGTAAAAAAACATTAAATGCAAAAAGAAGGAAAAAGTATATATCACACAACACCTTTATTAACTATGTCTTCAAAAAGTCAGCAAAAAGTGTTAAAATAATCATAGACCAAGGGCGGACTGACCATTCGAGAAATCAGGCACTGTCCGAGGACCCGGGGTCAGTAGGTGGCCCCATGAAATGCCCCATGATCTCCTATTGCCCGGGGGCCCCATGAGTTGTCAGTCTGCCCTGTCATAGACATACATATAAAAACCTCCTTGGACCTGCATCATCACTGATCTAACCATGAGATATAGCTGAATAAGCCACACTAAATAGCGCCACAATTAAAACCTTAGGGATGATTCCTTCCCTTCGGGATACTCTGCCCCCTTCCTATTTGGCTATAGTAGCCACAGGGAATCTTGGGTGAGAACCAATATCAGGGAATAATGGGATTTACTAATCCTAGGTATGTGCTATTTTACCCAGCAAGGTACCTTCCCCATGATTACCCTTCACATTTACCCATGTATCCATGTATTACCTGCCCACTATATCTATATATATATATATATATATATATATATATCAGTTTTTTAAGCTTTACACAGGGATAAGGATCTGCAATTTTCATTTTCACCTCATTGGACTCAGCTGAGCAGATCTGTCACTTTTTTATGATAAGGATCCTTATCCTGGTGTGTTAGCTTTTTGAATTGAGCCTTATGTGTGTACATTGCTCCCTTTGAAGAGATCTGCTTATTACTGCACACTTCCACAGTCCATGTCCTATAGCCAAATAAATCATAGATGTATGTCCTTTGTCAAGAAGAATTTAAAAGAGTTCCGGCCCCCTCTCCCAAAATGTAAAAGTCAGCAGCTAGAAATATTGTAGCTGTTGGCTTTTAATATTAGGGCACTTACATGTCCAGGGATCCAGTGGTGTCCTCACCCTGAGCTGATTCTTCATTTGGCTGTCGGGTGCTGGCGCCACCATCTTGACTAAGGGAAACCGGCAGTGAAGCCTTACAACTTCACTGCCGGTTTCCTAATGCTCTTTTTCAATGACCTGCAGTCCTTTGGGACCTGTGAAATGTCCCAGAGGGCGGGGGGCATGGCGAACTGAGCCAGAAATGGATATCGAAAGACCAGGTAACTGCTCCCCCCTCAAAAGGTGCCAAATGTGGCAGTGGAGGGGGGGGGAGGCAGATAAGCGAAGCTTCCACTTTTAAGTGGAACTCCGCTTTAAGCACTTTGTATTTCAACCTGTCATTTATTATGTGTTTGCATTGAAAGGAAACTTTTTGCCAAAAAAGGAAGTATATGCAGAAATGTATTATAATTGGATATGTTTTTTCTGGATTTATCATTGTGTTGATTAATGTTATAATCTAATACTAGATGGATATATTTATAATATTATCTGCAGTTTCCAAAGACGGAGCCGTGTATAGAATGTAAGATGCCATGTAACTTTCTTCAGTGGACTCAGAACTTTGAATAGAAGATGCCAAACTGCTTGTTATGCATTGCCAACAACTGTGATATATCAGTATGAAGGTAAAGGCAACATTGCTTTAATCAGGCAAATTTTGTATCATTATGTCATGTGACCATTTTCTTCATTTAAAACTGTCTTTAGAAAATTAAGGCCTCTACCTTTTCTTTTTATCTTGTAATTAGCATCACTTAGCTATATGATTTCACTGGTAGATTTATACTAGTCTGGAAGAACAGGATTCTGTTTCCACTCCGGGCATTACAAATCATATTTAGATCACTTCTGTGACCAGATTGTGTGACCTCTCTCACCTGGCCTGCTTACTTCAACAGCTAATGAAGGAGACAATTAGAGGAATCCTCTGATAATTAGCTTCATACCACTATCTCCATGAAAATGATTTTCTGCCTATTACACTTCAGTTAATTGTGTGAGGAGTAGAAGGAAGATGTTCACATCAGCACCATGAATCAGCCATTGTTCTCAGCTTAAATCATCTGATGTCATCAAGGTGCAGCGGGTCCACAATGAGCCCTTGTGTGACTTAATATCACAGTGTCACCAAACGAACAGAGATTTCCTAATAGGTGTGACATTTTATTACTTCAAGAATTCATAGGAAGTAAATACTGCCTTTGTGTAACATACATTGGCATGGCTGAACCCAGAGCAGAAGTTTTAAGAGCTGAGCTGACAATGCATGTAAAAATCACATGTCATTCACATACATTGTCAAAAATACTTCACTCCAGTACAATGTTTACTTACAATCTAACTTTCTCATACTCCAACTGTAAAAAAGGTTTTCTTTCAGTGCCACCATACACAACATGAAAAAAATCTGTGTCTATCGAATTGTTATTAGTATTTTAAAATTAACATTCCATGTAGATCCAAAACTATATCAACTATGCACAGCATTCATTAAAGGGGACTGTAAAAACATAGAAGGCAGAAGAAGACCAAATTGTCCACCAATTCTTCCCTTTTTATTTCTTTTTAAAAATGTTGTCTAGAGCCATTTTTGTCCCAACCAACTATACATTCACCTACTATTGATTGACTCCCTTCTTCTGCTGGAAGTTTGTTCTAACCATCTGCTATTTTGGTAAAAGAATACTTTCTATGGTTACTCTGGTACTTTCCTCCTTCTAGTTTGAGGTCACATTTTTGGGGTTCTCCATCTTAGCTTCAGATTTAAAAATCTGCCCTTCTAAGCATTATAACCACAAATCCTAATTGAACTTGTACACATGCTGGTACTGTACAGTATATGCACATACACAGCAGGCATTTGACATTCCAATGACATGCCCATGAAAGCATTATCTTGGTTTCTACAATAGCATAGTGTATGAAGTTATTAGACTTGCATTGACTGGATATGTATGCATTTCTTTGTTTACTGAACCAGTTGCATTATTGATTTTTTATTGTTATTTTTAATTACATTTTGAATATTGAATTAAAATTAAAATGTAGCAATTTTTTATTTTTAACATACTCAGCAAATTAGGAGTGCATAGTACACATTGAATATCAGTGTATGATCAGCTTGACGTGTTCAGGAATGGAGATAGTTATGTCAGTGAACATCCATGCACATACAGGTCCTCAATGCAAATGTACCATTGTTCTTTTTTTATTCAATGTAGTATATCAGCCCAGTGTGTAGAAACAAAAAAAATGTAAAATATAAAATTTTTTGAGAAACAAGTTAGTATGGCTAAAATAATCATTCAATCATGAACACTGTAAGAAAAATGTGGAGCATTTGGCCATAGCAACCAATGAAAGTCCCATTTTGTTTGGTGTAGATTACTCACTTCAAAGATGTTTCAGAGATATCAAGTTGTTGGAGTTGAGTGGCTCAGGGTTCAGGATGTTCAGCTTTTAGCTGACTTTTCTCTGCATAATACATGCGTTGCATTAATTGTGTACTGTAATTAATTAGGATTTTACTACAGGCTGTTCTGTTCAAGTTTTCCAGGACTGTATGAAAGGTCATTTTAATGACAGCAACCAAATATAACAGCATCCTATTGCCTCACATATTGAGAAGTGGGGAAATTAGATGTTTAAGTGGAAACAAAATACATTTGTAATCTGTCATCCTCATTAGTAAGCAGGTTTATTTCATCTATTGCTATAAATAAAAAATAAATGCCTCCGTAGCGTATTGCTAATGCTCATACTGGGTTTTTAGCATGGGGGTGGGGGACTAGGCGACTGTTCCCTCTTGTTTGAGCTTTTTGTAGACGAGCAGGACATAGGGGATTAGGATTGAGGGGAAAAGACAGAGGGGGTCAAGATGGAAGGATCAAGATGGAGGGAATCAGGGGAGAGAGTGTGTCAGGACAAGAGGGGTCAGAATAGAGGGTGTGCATGAGGAGGGGGGAGTGGCAGTGCAGAGCGGGTCACGATGGAGAGAGTTAGGACAGAGGGGGTCAGGTGGAGGGAATCGGAACAGGAAGGGGGCTCAGGACAGAGGTGGTCAGGATAGAGGTGGCGATTATGGAGAGGTCAGGACAAAGGAGGTCATGATAGAGGGGATCAGGATAGAGGATTTGAATGGGGTGGTGGCAGTACAGATTGGGTCGGGATGCAGGGAGTTAAGACAAAGGGGTCAGAACGGGGTGGGGGGTGGAGGGATCAGGAATAGAGGTGGTCATGATGGAGAAGTCAGAACAGAGGGATCAGGACAAAGGAGGTCAGGATAGAGGGGTCATGGTAAAGAGAGTCAGGATACAGGAAAGCAGGATGGAAGAGGTCAAGTTGGAGGCATCACAATGGAGGGGGTCAGGATGGAGAGGGTGAGGATGAAGGGGTTCAGGACAAAGGGGATTGAGATGAAGGAGATCAGAATGGAGAAGGTTATTACACAGGAGGTCAGGATAAAAGAAGTCAGGATGGAGAGGATCAAAATGGGGGTCAGGATGAGGAGGTCAGAATGGAGGGGGTCAAGATGATAATGATGGAGAAGGTTAGGACAGAGGAAGTCATGATGGAAGAGACCAGGACACAGAGGTGGTCAGGAATTCCACCTAACATTGGTTCTTATGTATGTGTTAATAACACCTTTTTATACATGTTTTTGTCATTTAGGCTTACTGTCCCTTTAAAGAACATTCTGGAAGGGTTTAGTAATCAGTATTATGAAGATCATAAGTGTAAGCTCATGGATTGCATACTGTTGGCACTAGCTGTTCTCTTTCTTTAATTAGATTATTATGCGGCATAGTTAATGATACTTGTAAGGTCATTAATACAAGTCATCCATGTTCACTGATCAGAGCTTATCCCTTATCACAGACCCTCATCGAGCTTCAGTTTCATTTTTTTTTCTAATATTAGATCTTTGGAAATGTTCTGCGCTCCTAATATGGATGTGTGAAGAAAAGATTAATAGTGAGTTTCGTTCTTAGATGTGATTGCCCCATTAAGCAATGCCTTACTTTGATTTTATTTTGTACTTCACAGTTGATCAATTTCCCTGCATGTTTATGTGAAATCTGTCGATCCCCTGAATACAGTCAGAGGTCTGTGTGCCAATGTATGAAGTTCATCTTCAATATGGCAGGTGAACCATCGTAGCCCAGTCAGAGAATTTCATGTTTCAATCTGATTATGACTGCAACATGTGAGGTTTTTTTTTTTAATCAGGTGAATTCCAGATTAGCT